GTGCCCCCCACGCCCCAGCCTCACAGCCTGGTTCAGGCCTCATCCTCTCCCCCAGACCTTGGTCCCAGCCTCCTCCAAGCTCAGACCCCGCCCCTCCCTTGACCACACCCTCCTCAGTGCGCTCCCTCTCAACAGGCAAGCCTGACACTGCCTGTGCTTTGTGTGCCCCCAGCGCAGCACCCGAGGGGCTGTCCCCAGTCCCCCTCACTGCCCAGCTCCGGGCCGGCCACTTGCTGAGACCGGATGCCCCGTGAGCACCGCCACAAGCCAACGCCAGCAGGGCAGGGTGCGGGGCTCCAGTCCTCACCCCTCTGTCCAGGCCTTGGCTCAGGCCAGGGGCCAGGAGGACGCGCACAGAGACGCCAGAGGGGCCAAGCAGGCCCTCCACACAGGAGGGCCAGCGGAGGGCCATGGGCGAGGGGAGCAGGGCAGGGGGGGCTCAGGATGGGAGCAGGGGAGCCGCTGGGGAAAGGGCCGGGGGCGGGCAGAACCCCACTCACGTATTTCGCGAAAAAGGACTTCTGCTCCTGGGGGTTCTTGGCCTTCTGGGCCTGCTCCATCTCCAAGCGCTCGATGAAGGCTGCTGTCTCGGGCCTGTGGGGTGGGGGTGGAAGGAGGAGCGGGGATGAGGGGCAGGACCGGAGTGAGAGGCAGCGGAAGGCAGGTCCAGCGGGCACAGGGCTGGCTCTGCCCGCCACCCCACACCCGTCCTCACCCTGGCGCAGGGGTCGGTGGCTGCAGCTGCACTGAGGTGTTGAACAGCTCCAGGTCCACGTCCTCCACCTCGTGGCCCCGGCAGCCCCCGGGGTACGTCACCACCGACACCCCCACCACATTGCCAGCCACGTCCACGTGCAGCGTCAGCTGGTCCGAGAGGTGAGACTCTACCAGGGAGCACTGGGGGAGGAGGGGAAGCGGGTGAGAGGCGGGGGGCCGGCAGGGGCTGCTGCCCAGGCCGCCTTCCCCACCCCCCAGGGCCCCCGAAGCATCTTTCAAAGCCCTCCATGGCCCCCTGCCAACCTCCGGCAGAAGCAACGGCCTCCCCAGGGCCCACCAACTGGATTGTCCCCCTCCAGCCCGGGAGACCCTTGAGGGCAAGGCGAGGTCCTTAAATGCTGGAGCACAAACAGTGGAGGCAAAAGGGTAGAACCCCTCATCACCGACTCACCGCGGGGACAAAGGAGGAGACGTAGCCACCGGCTTCTGGGCCGTCAGGGGCCCCAGGCCGCCGTGGAATCCGGACACGGTACAGGCCATTCAGCGCTGCTACATCCTGCAGGGCAGAGAGGGGAGGGTGGCAGTGAGACGGACAGTGCCCAGCCTCCACCTGGTCTGGACACCCACTGAGCCCACAGCCAGGAAGGCCCTTCCCCAGTCTCGCCCAGCCAGCATTCCCCACTCCCTGGCCCGGCCGAGCCCAAGACTCCTCCCACTGGGTGCCCCACCCTGGGAGAGACCACCATGAGAGCAGAAGCCAGCCCAGCGACACAGTAAGTCCCGAGGAGGACACTTCCCGCAGGTCTGGGTCCAGCCCCACACCCGACCTCCCCGGTTATACGAGCGGCTAGTTCTCTCTGTGGGCGACTGTGACAGGAATCACGTGGGCACCACGCAGGCTGGCTGGCCAGGGCGGGCCTCAGCCTGATCTCTCCCACAGCGCTGGCACCCACGGGCCCGCAGCCGCCCAGAATAAAGCCCGCGTCCCCAGCTTCCCTTGCAGCTGCATCTGGCCAAAGGGACGGAGTGGAAGTGGATTGTGGCAGCTTTCTCGAGCTCTCCCCCAAAGCCGGCTGTTCCCTCTGGCCCTCCTCCACCTTGCTGTCTGGAACCTCCCCCCCCCCG